GAATATTCCATTGCTTCGGGGCTCATGTAGACTCAAGCCTCAGAATGAGCATCCTGCAAATAAGTTACACTTATTCAAGAAGTGCACTCAGTGACTGACCTTATGAAGAAGCTGGTTCCACAGCACAGGCACTGCCAGGGTCAATGGTGACAGCCATCAGCAGGTCCAGAGAACAGCCAAGCATGCAGCTGTGCGGAGCACTGATGAGGCGTCAGGAGGGCATTGTACAATTCTGGAGTGACCCTCACCTCTGTTCTAGCGGGTGTGGAATCTCTCATACTATGTTTGGTTGTAAAAGCTGCACATTCCTGACCGCACGTCACCTGGGCTCATGCTGTCATTGGTGTGGAGCAAAAGGTGTTAGTGGTAAATGTGGGTACAGCAGTGCTAATACTGGGCTCGTCGTGGGAAATTGGACCCATCTTTCTAGAGATTCCCAGAGAGCCAAGTCATAGGACAGAAGGAAACACCTAGAAAGAACTTAGAAAGACATTTATCCTCTTCTGGATAAAACGGACGCTGTCCTAGGTCAGTGAATGTCCTCTTTATGTGAGAGGTCCAGAAATCTAGTATCCCTTTATGACTCTGAGGTCCCCTTTTATCTTCTGGGATTGAGTCTAAGGAGCTCATTCGTGTGTTAATTAAGCAACTATCTGTGCCAGAAATAGAAGTCAAGATCCCTAGGTTTGATAGTTTGCTGAGGTTGGTTAGCCACAGCAAAGGCTGTGAGTGTCAGCTAAGGAGTGGCCAATTTGGGGTGTATCAGGAAAGCAGGGGGAACCACCACAGCCGCATAGACTAGAGCAGGGAGCAGTTAGGCACCCCAGATGGATATGGGGAAGCCATGCTAACGATAGGATGTGGAATAGGACAAAGAGAGCAGATGCTGATCAGTGCTTTAGGTCTACACAGCTGGGTGGGCGGGAACACTGTTGGCAACTCACTCAGACTCAGCATAAATGGCAAGGACACAGCCTTGCAGCTTCCCAAGGCGAGTGGACTCAGGAGGAAGCACAACAGCTCGGACACATGCTTATGTTGCTGATCACTCTCCGCACTTTACAGATAGAACGTCCCTACCCAGCTCTGGGTCATGGGTACATACACGCTGTTAGCCCTCCCCACCAGCACACTGCCACCATGCAGGCATAAAGGATGAACACACAGTTTGCAACAGTTTTATTTAAATTACCAAAGCCTGGAAGCTACCCAGTGGTCCATCAGCAGATAGATGGATAAATAAATGGTACATCCATACAGAAGAGCATCAAAAAGGAAAACAAACAAACCATCAAGCCAACAAAGACAGAGGAATCACAAACGCTATTGCTAAAAGAAAAAAGCCCATCTCGAAAGACTCCTATGAATTCAATGGTATGACAGACTGCAAAATTATGAAGACAGTGCAAAGACCA